CAAATGAGTTGTGTTACCACGAACATGGGCCTCAGTTTCCTTGTCTGTAAAATGGGGCGGGGGACGATGTGGAATTTCCACTCCAGCTCTGCCATCCCAGCATTTTATGAAGGTTTTATCAAGAACAGCATTGTTAATATGGCAACCTGAGGGTTTCTGGTTTTGCTTGAGTCATGTTGGTTATGCTCCCAGCTGAGAAAATAAAAGCTGATAGGGTTTATGCACATCAAGCAACAAAGTTTTTATCACTCACACTCATTTCTTGAAACTCTTCCTGGAGGTGAATTGCTATGAGCAGCAAAGCTGAGGCAAGAAATTGCCCTCTCGGGAGCATATGACCTGTCTCTGAGGCTGATCATGTGAAGCTGACACCCAGGGGACTTAATCTTGTGGAGTTGGTGGCCAAGGAGGAACGGGCCAGGGATCCCTCAACCTAAGAGACTCTTTGTGCTAAATGAACAAGAAAACTCACCATCGTGTCCCTATTGGCACAGGCAGAGTGTTGGTCTCCATTACACCCCGTTGGACAGCGAGTGCACAAGGCTTCACGGGCGAGCAGGTGGCTTCTCCCATGGACCTCAAGGCAAGGAGTGGTCCGAGGATGCAGCTTTCTTGAACTTCACATTCAGTCAGTCAAGTGGACACGTCGAAGGATGGAGATAGACAGAAGGAATCAATGTGATTTTCCAGTTTGAAGCTTCAGAACTCAGCCTCAAGGCAATGTCAATATCATTAGCGTAAGACCTTCAGCAGTCTACCATGAGGTGTCCAAAGGACTGAGATCACTTCCGATTTCTTCTGAGAACCAGGAAAAGAAGCCAAGAAAGAAGAGCTAGGTGAGGAAAAATGTTGTGAACACTCAGAAGAAATGCCTTATAAGTAATAAAATAGTCAGATCGATCTTTTTCGAAAGGATACACATGAATTGTCCGATAAATAATGCGCTGGGATTTCTCTAACTTTCCCGAATGGATTTTTCTTTTTGTGTGTGTGTGCCAAGCATAAGAGATATCCAGTATGTGAGAAGCTGCTTTCAGCTTTCCTCCAAAATGTAGAGACAGCAAACAAGTGTGTCCAAACCTTTCCAATCTGTTTTAAAATAGAAAGTCATGTTACAGATCCGGAAATGTGCACTTTTATCCAGGGAAAACTCATGATCAACCATCACATGTTGTCTTAATTTTTGAATTTGACATTTAACATTTCCAGATTAGTTTACTTCCACAATTGCACTGCTCCTCAGAGTTAAGAACATGGCCTGCATCTGATTCACTTAGTGAATATGTGAACATAACTTTTCCTATGCTGATTTTCTCTATGACTCTTGAAAAGCTACAGCAAGATATGGGTAAGGTGGTGCTAGGTGCTGGCATTTAGAGGGAACTTTCTTTTTTGAATTCTTCGATGATTTCCAAATTTTTCTAAAATGAGCATGTATTTTTTAAGAACTGAAAGCCTTTTTAAAAAAAAAATTTAACGTTTGCAACATGGCTTATATTCTTAGGGAAAAAAAAACAAGAAATTAACTAGCCTGCCTTCCTTCTAGAAATAACACAGGGAATAAGTATATGGACTCAGCATTTTGTATTGCTTTAAAAGGAGGAAACTTTGTATTTACTCAGTTCTCCCCCTATAGGTTGCTGGGCAGCTTTTAATGTTAAGTGTTAGGGTAGTGTTACATCAGAAAGACCTTATCTCTATTCTTCTCAAAGATGACTACACATCATCTGATCACAAAGCTCATCCCAGATAAACAAGAACAGAAAGTCCCTTAGAAGAAAAGATATGGCCCAAAAAGCCGTCCTGCTCTTTCTGATTGTTTGCCACACTGGCTGGAGGCAAGGAAATCTGGGATTAAATTCTGGTAAGAGATAAGTGGGGATTTAGAGACCTTACCCTACTTTCCTTTCTACGTGTGTGTGTTTGTGTGTGTGTATGTTGAATTTAGGTTTTGTTTTGAATAACATGTTATCCTGAAGTCACATGATAGCATACAGTATTCAAGATTCTCAGTTCCCCTTACTCCAGAACCATGCTTGTATTTTCAGAAACTGGCCTGAACGAGAAGGTGATGTAAGAAGCAAAGCCCAGGTGGGGTTTCTGCAAGGTATTAGTATGTTTCTCAGAGGAATCTCTTGCACCATTCCAAAGTGAAGTTCTAGATATGTTGGCTGAGAATTATTAGACCTTTGCCCTTCCTTATTTTATTAGCGACGGCAGCTGTAAACTCCCCAAGTTTACACCGACTTCAGCACCGACTTCAATTCATAGAGCATCACACGATCCCAGGAAGATAAAAGGGGTCTAAGCTTGAGTCCCCATTTCCGGAAGCTCACAGTCTTGTCAGAGCAAGGCTCACGTGGAAACAGCTGAGGAGCTCCCACAAAGCAGATCAAAGGAGCCCGGATGAAAAGACTGCATCGAGATGCTCCTTTATCCAGGCTGGGCCTTTCTCCACGGAGCCCAGAGACTTCGCGGTCAGAGGAGACTCACTTTCACAAGCTGGGACCTTCGCTTCTGTTTCTGACTTCAGCCCCTCTAGGCGAATTCATGGTTTTGTCATCACCGCTTCTTGTTCTCCAGATGTTTGTCCTGTAGAAAGTGCTGCTTTCAATAGCCTTTAAAGCTTATGAGCAAACTGTATCTTCGGAGTCCCCCTCATCTTCCCCTAGATCTGAAAAGACATTACAAGTCAGGATTGCTTGTGGGCAGCCTCTTTCTTTGCTCGTTCTGATGAGTCTTCTATAGGGACTGACTGCAGCCTTTCCATCTCTTTTCACTAATACCTATTATAATCCTTTAAGTAAGATGGGGCTTTGAGGACCTTGCCTTTTCAGCAGCACATTAGCAAATCCCAGATCTCTTGCTCACAGTTTAGCTGATTTACCATCAGGACTGAATGAAATTATTGTCCGTGCATTCCTCTCTGTAGCTCTTCATTTCTTTCTCTCATCATTCCTTCGTTCAAAAAACATGTTACAGAACGCTGAGCCGTGACAGGCACTGTGCCAGGAGGATAGAAACCGAGAGATGAGTGAGACTCCATGTCTGGTAGAAAAGACCATCAGCCCCTGTGGCACCTTTGTGTGATCTGGAAAAATCAGCCCTTCCTCCTGGTGGAGACAGCTCTGTGCCAGGACTCAGGGATAACAAGTGGGGGATAGAATGGATTTCGGCCCCTTCCTGCCTCCTTGGCCAAGGACCCCTGTGTAGGGCATAATCTGATCAACCCTGTGCTATGAACCAGGAAATGTAAACAGCATATTATGGTACAGTATTGTGAGCACAGAGGAGAGAGGACCTGACTGCCCAGTAGGTTGGGGAGTTGGGGAAGGTTCCATGGAAGAGATTACATGTGAGCTGAGCCATGAAGGAGCTCATCTAGTGAAGGGGGGTGAAGGGCAGAGGGACGGTGGACAAAGCCACACAGGTCTAAGAGCCTGGCATATTTGGGGCACTGCAAGTCACTGATGATGTCCAGAGTGTCCAGCAGGTGCATGAGGGTGGGGGAGACTTGACAAGAATTGAAGCTGGAAGACACTTTAGCAATGATCTAAGCTAGTACCTAAACTCTAGGTCCTTGCTTCTCAAAGTCTGGGTCTCCTTAGGGCAGCTTTGGCATCACCAGACAAATTGTTAGGAGTGTAGAATCCTGGGTCCCACCCAACCTACTGAATCAGGACCTGCATTTTAATCAACTCTTTGGGGAGGAGGCTTTCAAGGTGGCTGTGTAGGAAGATCGTGAGCTCACCTCTTCTCCCTCTGAAAATGGTCTAAAAACTACATGAACTGCTCCCCACAACAAAGGATAAAAGGACAATATTAAGATGGACAGAGAGACAGTGATATGGTCTTGGCAAAACAACACCAGCCCCAGTGTGGGGACATCCAACAGGGGGGGCTCTCCCCTGTCTGGGGCTTCTCCTGGAGGAACAAGGGTTGGTGCCTCACATCAGGCACCCCAACTCTTGGGATCTGCACCAGAGAGATGAGCTCCCCAAACCAATGGGGACACAAAATGCTATAGAAAACGGAGGGTCTCCTTTCAAATGGCTTGTGTGTGGGCTCACTCACCCCAGGATCCAGCACAAAAGCACCAATTTGAAATTCCCCTAGGCTGTACTTAAAGGAGATTCATTGGCTGGTCCGGGGGCATCTGCTGGAGAGGCAGGGACAGTCGAGTCTCCCTCTGAAGGCAGAGGTGAGACTCACAGATGTCATCTGTGCCCTCTCCAGCTTCCTCCCACTGCCTTGCTGAGGCTGGAGAGTGCAGGCGGTCACAGAAACCCCTCTCCCTGGCTGGGGCAGGCAAAGGTCAACGGTCCTGGCATTCTCCCACTCCCAGCCTGGGACCAACATGCACTTGCAGTTAAGCCATTTTCCCACTGCTTTTCTGAAGCTGGCCACACCTCCTAACCTCTCCAGCTGCCCTGCTAAAGCCTGCAGGCTCCTGCCAACAACCCAGGGGCTGCCCCTTGTGCCACTGGTGGCCAAGGGGGGGCGGGGATCCTGAGCTAAAACTATCAGAAAGACAGGTGTTGGCCAGTAAGCACAGAGAGCTTACTGAAATGCAGCGCCAGTCTTCAGTGAAAAAGGCCTATTTTCTAATCCTGGAGCTTCAGCCTGAGAGACAGGCTTCAGGGTGCCATAAGCTAGAGGCTGTGGAGATGCTCCCAGAAGATGTCTTAGGGTCTCTTAGGAGACACCATGCTTGCACACCCCCTTGGCCCTGCTACAGCTCAGTAAGACCTCACAGAAAGGAGCTTCTCCATTCATCTGGAGCCCTGGTTTTTGAAACTGTTGCCCAGGGGCACATCCAGAGCTCCCAATCTGGAGGCCAGCAGGGTTTAATGACTGTGGCCCCACAGGACTATATATTCTGCATACTTCAGAAGCTTCTGCATGAGGGTCTGACTTCCAGTCAGCCTGAAACTGGGTGCTAATGAGATTCCTCTCCCTGGAACACTGATAGGCCTTGGAATTCCCTTAACAACAGGAACTTACCAAGAATAAACCAGGCCCTTTAGATAATCACAAAGGTTCAAGAGACAACGGAGAACTAGGGCAAGGGCGAATTCATCACCTCCACAAGGCAGTTCCTTCAACACTGAAAAAGGTAGCTGTTTCACCGAATCTGTAGAAACACAGCATCAAGCAAAATGAGGAAATAGAGAAGTCTGTTCTAAATGAGAGAGAAAGACAAAACCTCAGAAAAAAGACCTTAATGATATGGACATAAGTAATCTACCTGATAAATATCCCAAGTAATAGTCATAAAGGTGCTTGCTGAACTCAGGAGAAGAATGGATGAACAGAGCGAGAACTTCAATACACAGACAGAAAAAGAAAGCAACAAGCAGAAATCACAGAGCTGAAGAATACAATAACTGAACTAAAAAACAAAACAAAACAAAACACTAGAAGGATTTGACAGCGGACTGGATGAAATGGAAAAACAGACCAGTGAGTTGGAGGCCACTCAGACAGAGCAGCAAAAAGTAAAAAGAGCTTAAAAAAAATGAAGGAAAAAAAAAAAACCTAAGAGACCTAGAGGAGAAGGGGGCAGGGAGCGAGAAAGGGCATATATATCAATGAAGAGATCACATGTGACAATGGATAGGTCATCCAATGACAGAAAATTAATAAGGAAACGTCAGCCTTAAACATTGCATCAAACCAGATGGACTTAAAAGATATATAGAGAACATTCCATCCAAAAGCAGCAGAATTCACATTCTCAAATACACATGGAACGATCTCCAGGATAGATCACCTGTTTGGCAAAACAAAACAAGTCTCAAATTCAAGAAGATTTAAATCTTATCAAGCATCTTTTCTGACCACAATGGCATGAAACCAGAAATCGATTACAAAAAGGAAGCTGGAAAACCCACAAATACATGGAGATTAAACACCGTGCTACTGAGCACCCACTGGGTCATCAAAGAAATTAAAAGGAGAAATTAAAAAATACCCAGAGATAAATGAAAACAGAAAAATGACACACTAAAATCTATGAGATGCAGCAAAATAGTTTCTAGGAGGGAAGTTCATGGCAATACCAGCCTGCCTCAAGAAACAAGAAAAGTCTCAAAGAAACAATCTAACCTTACACTTAAAGGAACTAGAAAATGAAGAACAAATGAAACCCAATGTTAGTAGAAGGAAGGAAATAATAAAGATCAGAGTGGAAATAAATGAAATAGAGACTAAAAAGATAATAGAAAAGATCAGCAAAACCAAGAGCTGGTTCTTTGAAAAAATAAACAAAATTGACCAAAGCCTTTAGCTAGACTCACCAAGAGAAAAGAGAGAGGACTCAAATAAAATCAGGAATGAAAGAGAAGTTGCAGCTGACACCACAGAAACTCAAAGGATTGTAAGAGACTGCTATGAACAATTATATGCCAACACATTGGACAACCTAGAAGAAATAAATAAATTCCTAGAAACATAGTCTTTCAAGACCGAATCAGGAAGAAACAGAAAATCTGAACAGACTGATTACTAGTAAGGAGATTGAATCAGTAATCAAAAACCTCCCAACGAACAAAAGTCCAGGATAAGACAGCTTCACTGGTGAATTCTACCAAATAGTCGAAGAGCATTAATACCTATCCTTCCCTGGAAGAGGTTACATGTGACCTGAGCCATGAAGGAGCTCATGCAGTGAAGAGGGGTGAAGAGCAGAGGGAAGATGGACAAAGCCACACAGGTCTAAGAGCCTGGCATATTTGGGGCGCTGCAAGTCACTGACAATGTCCAGAGTGTCCAGCAGGTGCGTGAGGGTGGGGAGGCTTGAGAAGAATTAAAGCTGGAAGACGCCTTTGGCAATGATCTAAGCTAGGACCTAACCAAACCAAACCAAACCCAGACTCACAGAAACAGAGAACAGGTTGGGTGTTGCTGGTTACAGGTTGGGGGTTGGGGTGAGGCAAAATGGGTGTAGGGGAGCAAAAAGTACAAACTTCCAGTTATAAAATAAGTTCCTGAGGATATAATGTACAGCATTATTAAAAGTAGATATTGAGCACCTACTGTTTGTCAAGCACTGATATCTCCATATTTCTAGTAACTACAGAGCTCTCGACACACTTCCAGATCTCCCAGAGATCCCTTCCCAAAGCTTCTACTGTCTTTCCTGTGCTAGACTTTTCTCCCTCCAACCCCAGGTGGCTCATGGGAACAGCTTGAAGCTGGAAGGCTCTGGGGTTTCTGTTCTATGCTCAGTCCTCTGCGTGAGGGCTGCCCTGATTCTTTTTCTCCAAGAGGAATTCTGAGGGGGAAAAAAATCCAGGTTCAGGTGGGGTTTCAGCATGTGTGGGAGGTTATTACTGCAGTTGGCAAGGGACTGGCTCTGGTTTTTGTGTGTTTTGGTCACTGAGGTAAGAGTGGGGTGTACAGGGAAACATAGACTAATTTCCCTCAAAAGAAGAATGGGTTGAAGAGTAAGTTTGAGGTGCACAGAAGGGACCTTTTGGGAGGGGAAGCAAAAGAGAAGTAACACCCTTCCCCCAAACTGTTTCTGGGAATTCAGCATAGAAATCTCTTAAGGTCATCACAGTATCATCACTCAGTGATGGCAAATCATGTTACCATAAAACAGAGTTGACAAAAGAAAGTTATAGTTGGTGGTAGGGTGGTATTTGGTTTGGCTTTTAAATCTAATTGTGCAATCTGACTGCAGAAAGGCCAGGTCGGATGCTTACCCTGAGCTGGTAGCTTTGCTGACGTGTTCTCTCTACCTCCTTCCCACAGGTAGCTGGTTCCTCTAAACCTATGGGTACAGGAGAGCCAAGGGGGAACGCAGAGGAAGAAACATGCAAATAGCAAGGCCCTACCCTAGAGCCTCCAGGGGCAGCTTTAATTTTCAAGATAAAAAAGAACAGTTGTGCTCAGTTATACAGCAATCACTGGAAAGAAAATATGATCTAGATCTCTTAATCTCTCTTATTTCCTTCAAAATGTCTGTAGTCATTGAAGACTGCTTTAGGCAGGCCTGTAGGTTGCTTGAATTAAAACAGAAAAAAAAAGACGAAAAGAGGAAGAAAGTAATCTGCAATTAATTGATAGGTGGAGACCACCTCAAGGGTCAAGTGGTGGGATTTATCTTAGAAGGACCCAAGGTCAGGCTGTTGTAATTCAATGTGAGGTGGTAACGTGTTTCTCCAAGTGTGGTCTGTGCATTTGTGTTGATCCCCAAAGGATCCCGGGTCTGCAAAGACCAGTGTGGCCAGCAGTTCCTGAGAGGGACCAGACAGACGGCTGTGACTATCAAGCCATAGAACACAGATGTGCCTTTATATGTAAATACGATTTTGCTTGGAAGGCAGGATGTTTTTTCAGCTTCAACTGTTGGGGCCAGATGAATAGAAAACGTGTGTTTGAAACAACGGATTAGTATCAACCATCCGGGCAACTGCTAGATGTTCCGGGACCAGTAGATGTGGTCCCTTTACTCCTCTCGTTCAGGGAGGGTTAGTCGCCTCCTGAAACTGCCTTTTGCCACTTCTTTTTCCTTTGTGGCCCTTGGCTGAGTGGGGAGGAAGTGTCTGAACTTGAGCCCCGGCAGCTGTTTCAGTTACAACTGGAAGTGAGTGTCCAACGGAGAGACAATCACTTAGGTGTGCTTGGAAGTAGTGAGCCTTTGCCCCGATGCATTTCACTGCTTAATTATGTCTTGTGTAGACGAGCCCTAAAATATATTTTCCTTTGTGGTTTGTGTGAAGAATTTTGGAGTTAGAGAACAATGTATTAGAGAACAATGTGTTAGAGTTAGAGAACAATGTGTTAGAGTTAGAGTTAGAGAACAATGTATTAGGTCTTGGGGCCCAGTTATGTTACTTTGGACACGGGACTCTCAGCTTCCATTTCCCATCAGAAGAAATGAGGAAAATCCTACCTATCTCACCAAATTGTTCGAAGGGGTTAAATTTAATGATTTAGGGAGAGCCGCCCATGCGGTGTTTAGCACGGCAGCCTTCCTTGTGTGTTCCTTTCTTCTTCACTTTCACTTGGGCACCAAAGCCAAAGCTTAATGAATGATTAGCTGCTACTGTGGTCATTTGTCTCAAAACCTGTATTGTGGGACAACAGAGTCGGCTCACCCAGCCTTCATGCAAAAGTGAAAACCCTGGGATTTTCAGGAAACAAGCTCTTACCAGAAAATCGCCCTATGTAATGAGGCACACCAGCTTAAACTGGGGCCAGTATTTCATGACATCTTAATTGCTGGCAATAGGAAGTTGGGGTGTGGAGGTGGAGAGAAGCTGCTATTTCCAAGGCACCAGATTTTTTTTCCCCCAGAAAGAACATTTTAAATTTACCTTTGAGATTGATTGTTTTGGGGGTGGGGGAACCTTAATAATTAGTTTGAACACATAAATGTAAAACCAAGATCCTAACTGGAATAGCTTTGGCTATTTGGCTACCTATGAACGGGGCTGGTACATTAGTACGTTATCTTTACTCCTCTCAACAATGCTTTGGGGAAAGGTTGATTATCTCACCTGTGAGGAAACAGGCTCAGACAGGGACCTGCCTGTGGGTGTGTCCCTAATCTCAAGTCAGGTTGGAAAAGGTCATATAAACCCAACTAGGAAACTTTATGAAATCACTCCCCGTTTCCCCCTTTCCCCATGAGCTTCTGCCACACACACCCCCATGGTTGTGTATTTCTGCAGAAGTTAGACATTGTTACTGATGGAGAGTGTTTCATTATCCTCCAGTGTTTTTGGGGTAAAAAGTCTGCTTTGCAGCATGCTACGTCTCTCATCTGCCTTCCTCTGTCTGAGGCTCCAAAAGAAAGTCCTGAGGAATTCTAGCTCTTCAGCCTTACCAGTATTGCCCTGGGAGGGGGGGCACTCCTACTTAATTCTGTAAAGGATTGCCCAAAAACATAAAACCCTACAGAAAAATTCATGGCCCCAGCACCTGAGAGGTACTGTTGGACATCCCTCCAGTGCTTCCAGGATCCCAGTACCCTCCCTGGGTGTACTGCCCTCCAGTCACCAAACCAGTGGTTTCTAGCCACCCCCACTCTAACCGCCCCCCCCGCCCCCCAGTGACTGGAGGGTAAAGGCCCTGTCATGGGTTATGGATTACCCAACCACACATACCCCAGCTGCTTTCCCT